CTTAGGTATCATTATTATCATAATCATTATTATACTACAGACTACGTTTCTTTGTTTTCTTTTTTTCTTTTCTTCTTTTCTTTTTTTGTTGTTGTTTTGTTTCGTTTTGTTTTTTCTTTTGTCCACTTACTGTGTGTCGCACGTCACTTTCTCAGTTTCGCCTTTTTTTAACATTTTGCCTAAAATGTACTTTCAGGGTACTGGAGATCGGCCCGACCCGCAGCTTCTTCTTGTTAAAAGAAGAAATTGTGGACGGAATCCTACATCTCATTCCGAGTTTGAAAAACCTGCAAGTTCTAGGCCTAATCAAATGTGCAAAAAATACGAAGAATGCCGACAGTGACCTCCTTCAACGTATATGCCAACCTCTTAAGATATGTTTATGGCAATGCCATATCACTTTGGTTGAGTATGTGAAAAAATCTTCGAACTTGAACATTACATACGAAATAACTCCATTTTCCCCATTATCATCTGTACTGTACATGTCATAAAAAATGTTTTGCAGAACATTTTCAAATCGCTGTATTTCTTTTGAATTATATCTATATTTTTGTGTATAAGACATACGGGCTGCCTCTCAAGACCCTTCGGAACATGTTAGAGGCAGCAACCAAAACTAATAGGTCTCTTGGGGGAATAAGGAGAAAAAGAGTTTTGTTTGATAAAATGATGGTAACTTTATTTTTTGGTAACTTACTTTATTTGGTGTACATCAAATGGTGGTAGCTTCATGTCATGTACGGTCTTAATATTATGCATGGAGCTGTCATTCACTACTGGTATGGATTTTGATTGGTGATAGGGCACAGGCAAACCACTGAAAAAATGAGGGAAATAAATTTTCATTTCTCTTTGTCTTTTTTTGCACGCGCGCTATCAATATTTTGTCACCTCTCCTACCCCACTTGTAACATATTTTCTACTTTTTTGCTATTAGGGGGCACAGGGGAGGTGACAAAATATCGATAGCGCGCGTGCAGAAAAAGAAATTATTTATCCTTCTTGTGATTAGAAATGTTCATTTATCTATAATTACAAAACGTATTTCATTTTTAGTGGATACCACGTCAGAGACGGTATCCACTATTGCTATCGTTCAGTTTTCGAGATGTAAGAAACCCATCACGTGATCAATAAACTCCACACGTGATCAATCAACCCAACTTCGAAATTCCAATATGGCGGCGAAGTGAAAGCTTTTTACCCCTCTATAAAATTTCTGAAGAACTGAATAAATTGACGAAAACAAATTAGAAACACATCTGGAAAGTACTATTCTAAGATTCTGTGCGATCATAACAAGAGCAGCTTCTGGACATCATAGAAAAAGCCCATATTCCGAGTTCTGCGACACTGGGAAAAYGTTCTTTGGAAACTGYACTTCTAACTCTTAGACTCTACGATGCRTTATCTACAAACATTAAACCATGGACACAAAGAGATAGACAGTAAGATATATYAGCAGAAGCATCTACTATAAAAGATTCCCTAATAATTTCTAAAGAAAAAAAGTACAAAAACGAAGTTTAACACATCTGCAAAGTACTATTTTTAAATGTTTATTCTTGACAGAGAATATCATATATTTTAGAGAAAACACAAAACAATTCGGTAGAGGGAACATTATTTCAAAACATGGCGTAGATTTGTAGATTTGATCATGTGAAAATTTTAAGCTTTTCAGAAATGTTTTTTCTTTCTAGGCGTAGATTTGTAGATTTGATCATGTGAAAATTTTAAGCTTTTCAGAAATGTTTTTTCTTTCTATATAATTTTTAATTTTTCTGCAAATTTTAAAACTCAAATAATGCTGAGCTTGCCTTTGTTCACTAGTAACTTAAGTGAACAAAATACAGCTCAAAACAAATAGCTGCAATTGTATGCTCTGAATTTCCTTACTRATTTCTTTAATGTAAATGAATGTTTCAAAACTGCAATATATTTTAGTATGATATATGATTCCCACTATTCGATAAAAAATTAGATTAAACAATTTTTGTCTATATAACATCAGTTATTGACAGTTATGGRAATATTATTTTGGCATGAGGTAGCAAAAGTTAAACCTGTGAGTGTTGAAGATWTTACAGTTGATAAATAATTATTGGAAAGACATCAGTCAAAAATGCTTCATCAAACCCTTTGCTTTTCTACCCTTGTCCCGAGGCTTTCTTCTGTCTTCTTTACAAGCAAAAATCTTGAAACTAAGGTGTGAAGTTAAATGATATGTACGGAATAAACATTGCAAAAAGGCAAATGGAACCCTCCTGGGACAGGGTTTTCTTTTCGTGCATGGGTAAGATTCAATGGAAAGAATACAATTTAAATATTTAAATATCTTTTTTTGGTGCCTTGATGATATGATAATAAATAGAGAAGAGAGTGTGGAAATAAATTATATTTTGGAAATTGTCCACCATCAATGATCAGATATATTAGCTTACTAATAAACTTCAGTAGACTCTGTAAGATGATAAATCTGATGATGGCCCAAAATAAGTTTCATCTACCTCTAGACTCTTACATTAAGATAGTCCACTATTGCACACTACTTAAGGGTGTAAAATATTCCATCAAAACACTTTTAAGAAAAAAGTTCTGGGCAATGACCAGGAATAATGAAATGAAAATGGAACATGTCGGATTCTTTCAATAA